CCGGATCCACCATATCCACCTCCTAAGCCACCACTTGAACCACCGGATCCACCATATCCACCTCCTAGACCACCGGATCCACCGGATCCACCATATCCACCTCCTAGGCCACCGGATCCACCAAATCCGCTTCCTAGGCCACCGGATCCACCATATCCACCTCCTGAGCCACCATTTGATCCACCAGATCCATCGGATCCGCCATACCCACCTCCTAAGCCACTTCCACTAGAACCGCCAGATCCTCCATATCTACTACCGCCATTGTAAAGACCTCCCGAATTACCACCACTTCCCCCCAAACTTCCTGAACCACCAAAGCCTCCATTTCCAGATTGACGATCACCAGCATATCCTCCTACTGGGTCAGTATATGTAATTTTAGGTTTGTAACCATCTTCATCAGCTTCATATTCAACAATTTGTGTTCGACCATCTGGTAAGAGTACATGATACACTCCAGTAGCTTCTTCACCTTGACGGCTTTCTTTATGACCAAAAATAGCACCAGATTCCGGCGCATTAACTTCGTAAGAAAATTCATAGTTGGCTGGTTCCTATAAAAAAAATGAATTATTAATTCGATTTCATAAATATGATAAACAATACAAATTTAATACACTTTATACATGATATGGAATATCTTATAAAATTAATGTACTTAGAAAATGTAAAGGCAATAAAATGTCTATGAAATATTATTATTTGTCTGTATAATATCAATTTAGAAATGAAATAAAGTTTAATTTTGAAATTTTTTCTCAGGTGAAATTTAATGTTAAGGTATTCTTTATAATATATTTTAATTAAATTATTTTGGTTTAAATGAAAATTTGACAATTTAATTATTCTTAAATGTAATGAAAAATTTAGTTTTATTAAGAAAAGGTTAATTTATTATTTAGCAAATTTAAAGCTTAAAGCAAACCACAGTGAAATAGATACACAAATACATATTTTAACCTAATATTATGGGGAAAATGAATTAATATTTTATTATTAATCTAGATTTTGCTAGGTTTAGTTATTTTATTAATTAGTATCAATTGGAATAAAAATAGAAAATAGTAGTAGAAGTTCAGATTTAGTATAGCATTGAACGTCATTAATAGTTCAGGTCAGCCAATTCTGTTAGTATTTTTCAGTTTACTGGCATAAATGGTTGAACTTATTATCAGGTAATTAAATAGTGGTGATTTATCTTATATTCATTTGAAAAAAAATGTTAAGTTAATTTTTATGTCACATAATTTTAAACAAAAATATTGAATGGTTTTAATAAATAATTTTTTTTTCAAAAACAATCATAGGGAATAACTACCTATTAAGAATAAGTTTAATCTGATACAACTAGTTTTTAAAAAACACGCGAAACATTTTTTTTTAAATTAGAGAATATTTCAAATCTATAATTAAATAATTGATAAGCGATTTCGATCTTAGATATAGATATAAAAAAAATATTAAAATAATTTGAATTTTAGAAAGTGTTTTATTTGTAATTACATTTTTAAGTTTTTACTTTTATTCTTATATGGTGGACTCTAAATATTTAAACAATCGTACAGAGCAAATAATTATTTACAAAAATTAGATTTAGATTCAAATAAAAACCTGATTTAATATAATATTATTTAAAAGTAATTTGAATACCGATGTATTAAAAAATTTATATTTTCTTAGTTAATACCAACTAACAAATACAATATTGTTTGTTTATCTTAAAAATGTGTTACCTATTTTAAGTATTAACCATTTTTATATTCTTAGTTATAGATATTTTGATTATTTTTAATATTATATGCATTAGAATAACTTAATTTATATTTTAAAAAATATTTGTAAAAAACATAAATGCTTTCATAGAAAGCATAAATAGCAAAATATGAAATACATAAAAATCATTTAAAGCATACTACTTATTTCAAATTAACTTAAAGTAAGTACTTACTCACTTCATAGAATAACTATTTTAAGACATACTATTCACCAATAATTATTCATAGAATAATTTTTAAATTTATAAAAATAAAAAATATATTTGTATTTTATATTTATACTTATTAAGTTAAAATTGTATTTTAATGTCAACTTACCGAGAGAGGATCGTTTCCTGATCCACCGAGTCCATTACCATTGGCTCCTCCAAGTTGATCACCTCCAGCTCCATAACCATCATTATTGCCTGAAGATCCTCCAAGTCCTCCACTACCACTTCCATAATTTCCAGAAGATCCACCGCCGAGGCCTCCCGAAGATCCTCCTCCATAGCTTCCTGATGATCCACCGCCGAGGCCTCCCGAAGATCCTCCTCCATAGCTTCCTGATGATCCACCGCCGAAGCCTCCCGAAGATCCTCCTCCGTAGCTTCCAGATGATCCACTGCCGAAGCCTCCTGAAGAGCCAGACCCATAAATCGATCCAGCAGAACTACCTAAACTACCTGAAGAACCACTTCCATAACTTCCTGAGGATCCACCTCCATAACCTCCATTTGATCTTCCAGTGCCACCTAGACTACCTGAAGAACCACTTCCATAACCATTTGTCGATCCACTTCCATATCGACCGTTGTTACGTGAATTAGATCCTCCATAGCTTCCTTTGTTACCTCCAAATTTAGATCCAAATGAAGAATATCGATTATTGGCTCCTCCTGATAATCCGGATTGAGATCCATATTGATTAGCACCACTGAAAAATGGACTGGCTGATGATGAACCTACTCCGCCGCCATTTCCTCCACCGTATTGTCCTTTCCCTCCGTATCCTCCATTTCTACCATTTCCATTGCTATTGCCACTTCCACCACCATATGGTGATTCAGCAACAACAAAAACAATTGATAGAAGCAATATTAATGCCCGCTAAAATAAAATAATTATAAAAAATTACTTTTAATGTTTATTTAAGTTTTCGAACATTTTATTAATAATAACTTTAAAAGACATTAAAACACTAAAAACAAGTTTGCTTAGATTTAAAGTATGTCTTTATCTAAGAAATATGGTGTGGGTCTCACACTTAAACACTAATTATTTAATAAAATACAAGCGTTTGAAAACATGCATGTGACATCTTAGAACCGTAGTCAAGATAGCGGCGTATGTTTTACATGCAAAAGTGTCTAGATTAATAAAACGATTTCAATCGTTAAATAAAATATTTTTAAATTTTTTTTTATGCAACCTCAAGTGTTTTTTAGTGTTTATAACACTGGTGTGATTATAGTTTTGATATACTTTCTAGTTTTTTTTATAGTATATAAAACCATTATAGTCAATTTCGTAAAATTTTTGGTTATTATACGAGTATATGACATGAATCGCGAACTCAATAATTTTACTAGTTTATAATTTATAATATGTATGCATCAACAATATATATTCAATTTTAAACCACACCATAGTCTGCCACATAAAAATATACTTAGGATTATGAAAAAAAAAATTCTAAAATACCATTTTAAGTTATTAAAACCATTGTGTAAATCAAACTACTTTTACACATAAAACATAGACGGCTGTTCACTCGTCGGTTCTATGACGTCACGTGGCTATTCATCAAATCTCATTACTTCGTTGAATAATCGTTTTTTTAAATTTGGATTCTTACCAAAACTTCTTTCATTGTATTGACTACAATAATACACCAATAAACTTAAAAAAAAAATCAGTGTTGTGATGTATTTTAAATGAAATATTTATTGTTTAGCTAAACAATTAAATTAAGTTTAACCATTAAATGTTGTAAAAAATAATTTATTTTTATGACAGATTAATTTTTTAAAATTTTTTTTTTATTATAATTATATTTTCATTATTATTCTTGCTTTAAATTTAAGTTGTATAGGTTTTTACTATCAACGTTTAAATATGAATGCAAATTAATAATATAAATATATCTTAAGCAACGTATAATAAAAATCAATTTAAAATTTAAAATTATACTATTATACTCATTTAAATTACATATTTTATATTAACAAATAAATTATGGTTCAGCTTTTAAGACTTATATCGTAAATCATTACTTGAAATTCAAAATATCGAAATAATATATATATTATATTATAATAAAATATGTTTACTGTAAACTTCAATTCATCATTTTTACCTATTAAATTAATTTGGTTATCTTACTTGTATAGTAATATTAATAAAAGATCTGCGTTTATTGTATATTGTTATTTACACATAGGTAAGTAAAAATATTTACGGAGGAGCCTGATACATAAAAATATTTTATAATCAAATAATTCAATTTTGATAGTTTGTAACAATTAATTAATAGAATAAGTCTAAACACTCTAGGGTACTCTAATGTTTCATTTCATCCTATAGTTATTTATTTAGTCAATGGTCTATGCAAATTTATTTATTCCAAAGACTTTTAGTTTAGTAATTAATAAAGAATTAAATGTTAAATAATTTAATTTAGTGAGAAACCTATAGTTCTATAATAGAAATATTTATCAAATTACACTATGATTAATCGTCTTAAAGATTAAAAACTACAAAATTTGAAGCTAAAAATTAAATTTATTATTTTTGTCGTGTATAATGAATTATAGTCTTTGACTCTTTGAGATGAACACTACTTGAATGCTCATGAATATAGTCGTGTATAGTGTATTCCATTTATAAAGACATAGATACATAATGTTTTTTTTTAAATATGTCATAATAGTGTGCTATCCATATTAGAATATTATAAATACATTCTTTTGTTTTAACTGTAATGATTAGATAATCTACTATTTCGTTATAAATGACAAATTCAAAAAGACTTGCATACATTAAGAAATATCTTTGTTTAAACTTAATGTTCTATTTTAAATTGCTTACAATGCCTTCTTTATTAATAATTAAAATATTTATACTATATTATATATAGTAAAATGCTTATCATAAATATTACATAATATGCAGCACAGTACGTTGTGTTGTATATAATATAATATGATATATAGCATAAGAATACCTAAAACTTAAAATGATAAAAGTCCAAGTGATATAAAATTAAATTTTTATTTGTTTTTTCATAATTTGTTATAAATAAAGCCGATAATAAAAAATAATTCTAATAATCATTTTAAGAAATGTTAAATTTTCAAAAATTAAGTAAATACAATTGCTTTCAGAAGGTTATTTTTCATAATTATTTGAATTTGATTATTGATGTATACAGATATTCTATTGAAACTTACAAGAATTTTTGATTTTGTCATAATGGTTTTGCAAAAGTGCGTAGATATATTTTCTTAATATTTAAGCAATTTTGAGATATTTATTTCAATAACAATATATATATATAACAATGGTATAAATAATAATAAATTAAAATAAATTTTATTTTAAAACCTTAGCAGATTTTTGTTTATATTTCATTCTTTATTTTAATTTTATCTCTTTATTTCTATTTAACGCATTGTATAATATTATTGCAAAAATAAATATTAATATAACCATGTATCACGCAGAAACAATAACAATATGTGAAATTTAAATAAAAATTTAATTTTTATAAAACTGTTGTAAAGAATTGATGTAAAATATTTATTCAAAGTCTTAAAAATATTAAATTTTTAATGTCCCAAAAATTTATATTTAGTACTTTAAAAAAAATTAAGTTCAAAAAAAATTATTTAAAATCATGGACATAGGTACTTTTGGTACTGAACGTTGGCGGTTTTGTTTCACGCAAATAATACATTACTAGAACTCAGTATTTAAATTTTTTGCCTATTTTACAATTTATCAGTTTGTGACAAGTTTGTGGTTTTTGTCTTGCACGTTATTTCATATTTTTTTTATTTTTTGTTAATACATCAGATAAAAGATTATTACGGTCTTAAATTATTACACTAGGCATATACATTTATAATATACGTAATGTATTATATGTGAATGATGAAAAACTTGTATAATTATAAGATTATAACGGAAAAGATACGGTTGGAGAAAAAAAAAAATCGAAAATTTATATCATTATGACCACTGGTTGTACTGGCCAGGTATATACGTAAGTTACTCACGTTCATGTTGCGGACGAGTTAGTCGGAGCGGAAGGCGGACGACTTTTGCTATACAGTGACGATAAGGATAACGACGAAGTAGCTGCAAAAGAGTGGCCAAGTGTCGACGACGGCAATTGCGACGACAACCACGGTAAAGATTCGCGATTTCTGTGCTCGTTGCAGACCGTGCAGAGTGCGACTTGGCAGACGACGATGCGAATGATGCGGTCTCGGGGTACGGTCCACGGAATTATATACCCCGAAGAGACGGGCCTGGAGAGCGGTTGAGCAACGTAGCCCCTCCATCAGCGGCTGTCCGAAAAGGTTTCGATGTCGATTACCGATCGTCAGTGTTAGAATTACAATAACGAAGAAGATCTACGGTGAATTATGTGACGACACCACCCCCTCGCCCACTAATCACTATGCATTCATGCATACATTTCGTGTGTATATATGTTGTGTCTGGTTATGATATCAAACGGTATTTATTATTACAATATCAAACATATTGTGCGTACATTAGTCGTGACGACGGACGAGCGGGTGTGACAGCGTGTGCAGGAGAGCCGACCCACGGCCGCGGGCGCGGGTGTTAATTTCGTTTGACGTGTGGGGAGGGTGAGGGGGAGGGTCGGCAGTTTGCGGAGCGAGAAACGCCGCGGTCGTTCGGCGGGTATGGGACATCACTATATGGATCACTGGCACATAATATTACAACTAAACGTGTACGACTACGATGACGATGATAATAGATGACGGCGGCGGCGATGATAATATTGTTATTGTAGTCGTGGACAAGGACGCCGCCGCTCAGTCTTCAGGTGTGCGCATATGACCGCGATTTTGTGGGAAACGGAGAGCGCCCGCTCGCGGTCCTTCGCACACGTAAAGATCTCGTATCGGATATTATATTGCTATTATTATTATTATTATTATTATGATTATGATTATCAAAGGCATGTGTCGTCGTGTTGCGGGCGAGTAGACCTGAAAAATTCGGCGAAATTGCGCAACGCTGTTAGTACAGCGCATAGGTAGGTAACATGCACACGCACACCGCAACGATCTAAATGGATTCGTTAATAATAATAATAATAATAATAATATAACAAAACGATTGAATGAGAAACGGTACTCGTACACGTCGTCGCGTCGTCGCCGTCGTTGTCGTCTCTATCGCATCACTCAGCCGCCGCCACGATTCGCGCGCACGGAGTTGTGTCATTTCGATCACGGACGACGGATGATCTAGTTTTAATGCGTCTTCAATAACGCGTTACGTTATTAATTTCGTGTTATTACATCGTCGCCCGTTCGTCTCGGCCGAACCTATTATATTGCACTTATCGCGGTCGTCTAGCCTAACCGCCGCCGATCCAATAATAATACAATAATATATATGTATAATATAGGACGACTAAAGTCTATACATACGTATTATACGAATAGATGGTGCTATATTGTACACAATATAATATACGAATACACATATTATTATTATTATTATCAGCGTCATCATCGCACCGTGTGTGTGTAACCGTTTAGTTTTATTTTTTTCACGGCACGTTTCTTTTTTCTTTATTACCATGTATAAACGCGTCTCGTTTTCGTATCCTCTCTCTCATTTTCGAAACACTTACTTTTAACTTGTATTATAATTACTGCACGCCTAAAATACGGGTAACACGTCATACTATTAGCTATACACGTCTGTGCTATCGCGATGTTTGTAAATCATAATGTAATATCCATAACAGTATTCGGTTGGTTTGTTTTCTAATAATATACTATATCAATATAATTATAATATCGTATATTTTCACAACCTGGTATCACGGCGGGACGGATTAAAATGCGAATTAATATCAACAAAATGCCTGCGTTAAGTGCATGATATGTAACTATGTAAGTGTGTACTAAGTACACTACGCATATATTACCTATGTATGCCTTGATTTGTTTTGAAAATAGTTGAAAAAAAACATTTAACAAAAGTCTTAAAGTATACATTATGATATTACAATTTAAGTATTGACAATATTTAAGCTTGTAGTTAAGTATGAGCGAGTTAGATATAAAAAAATTATAGATTATTATAAAATATAATAATTATTTCTTATAGTTTTGCAAAATAATCTTTCTAAAAAGGAATGGAAATAAAAATTTGACAAGGGTTATCAAAAAGTTAGAAAAGAAGGATAAAAAAGAAAATTAATTTTAAATAATGTTTAGAAGTCGTTTAACTAATAACATTACATAAATATAAATATATTTTTAAGCTTATAATTATTAGGACTAAGATTTATATGCAATAAAAAAATTATAAAATATGTGTTTGGTTTATTAAAAATATGTAAAAATATGCCAGTAATATTATATATACGCCAAAAAATATGAAATATACACTCAAAAAAAAAAAAAAAAAATGATACGTCTTAAAATTAATAAAATAATATTCTTAGCTGTTCACACTATTTAAATATATTACACAAAACAATTATATGGTGTTTCAAATTTTCAAAACTGAACGAGTTTCTGTTAAACCTTAATATACGTTCTTCTTTTTATATAGGTATTTTTGAACAGTGTGAATACATAAATTATCACATGTGACATGATTAAAACGTCTAGTAACAAAATATACCATAAAACATGCATTTTTCGTGTTTTTATAGTCGAAATATGCAATAATATGCATTTTATCCAAAAATGCAAAAATATACAAAATTAAAACACCTCTGTTTATATCATCATGAGATGATTTCTGGACATGACTGACAAAAACAATAATCAGAAGTTGCAAAAAAAATGTTGTTGCAGTATATTAATGTTAACCCTATTTAAAATATAAACAGATTTCTATACTACAGTAATAGTACCTATTAGTAGTAGTAGTAAAAATTAGAAATAGTATAGTACTAGTAATAGTGTAGTGACCAGACTAGATAAATAAAAATATATTTATAAATATCGTATATTATTACTTGATTAAAGAATCTACATTACAATTTTATTTTAAGACCATTTGAATAATAATATTAACTACATTGTAGTTGTCTATACTTCTTACTTTTTAAGCATAATTTTTATTATTATTATCATTTTATCATTTACAAAAATAAACTCATTAAAACGAACATATATTAATAGAAAAAGAACTTATTAATATTAATAATTACTATTCACTTACATGTATTACGTAAACCATTATGAATATATATATACACATTAGAAATGAAAAATAATATATTAGAATCTGTTGACTCAATTCAACGGGATTTTTTTTAGAACAACGAGTGAATATCGATGTATTTAAATGTCAAAATTATATGGAAATAATAATGACTCTGTGAAAGGCATGGCCACAGCAGTTAATGTATTTGACTAGCTTTTAAACAAAATTCAAAATACTTCTCACAGTTCCATGAAATAGAGTACTTGAAAAATGGTTTTAACGCTGACAGCCGTACACTGGTATCTATTTTAGGTAAAGGTCATAGACCTTAATGTTCTTTGATGAGTTAGTGCGTTGCATATTTATACTGCTTTATTACTGTTATAATATAGCACGATAATTTGGTATCTACCAAATTCAACTGCAGGCAACAAGTGTTTATTTGTGATGAAACATAATATTTTCATTTGAAGGCTAAAAACATAAACAAAGAAAAATTTTCCAGCTCAAGTCTAGGTATTATATGAACATTGAAAATTATTTCATCGGTCGTTATTTATTCATATAGGCTACCTATGAACATTGATAGACACACACATAGAACTAACGTTTCTATTGAAATTGAAAAAATACATATTTCTAAAATAAGAAACATCGCATACATTACTTACCATCGCCAGGGTACTTGTTTAACACAATGTTACCTAAAACATGGATATGGGATATCGTGTATACTAGTATACTATATATGTACTATACGAAATGATTATATCAAACGACTCTGGTTGACTGGTTAGGAGTTTTTAAGTCATATTCAGTACTGTTGACACATTGAAGTACCCGAAGATCTTAATCATGCAGTATGTGATTATAAAATCCATTTTTGTAGATGTATCAAATAAAATAAATGTTTTTGTATTGTTATTTATCGTGAAAATATCCATATTTTACTATTGGAAATATTTATCATACATCATAAACCAATAATTTTTAAATTGAATTCACTATAATTATAAAAATGGACAAAATGTTAAAGGAATAATATTTTAGTTAGCGCACTCTATTCCTCATGTAAAACCGATATATTATATATACCACGAGCTAAACGCCACAATATTATAAAATTAAGTAACAACAGAATAGATGGCGCCGGGTCAACCATGTTTCGCGTATCATTAATTTTAGAACTTCACAGTATCCAAATTATTTCTATTATTATACATGTCATATATGATTATCATATGTATTTAGTTAGTGAAAATAATATGAATGTAGTTTTAAATTCTAGTTATTTACGTTTTGTGTTAAAACCATTGTATAATATTTTAATATTATAATTCATTAAAAAAAAAAATTAAGAAATATTGTTTGACTTTTAGCTTAAACACAAATATATTTGATTATGTTATAGAGTACACTGAACAATCTGAATTAATTAGTAGGTAATTTGACTGAATTAAATTGAATTAAAAATATATTCACGTTTATTATTTATTATAATGTACTAATTTAATAATAAATATTTAGACAAAAAAAAATATTTGAAATATTAAACATTGCGAAATAAAATAATGAAATTCGAATAACGTATGCCAGTTTATTAAGAAATATACAAGGTATCTATGTTAGTAATACCATAGATTAAATATTAATATTATTAATATATTAATTAAATTTTTAATAATTATTTATTTTTTAATTTATATTTATATTTTAACATAGATTAGTATATTTAATCTATGGTAATACAGGCTTAAATGTAATTACGTGCCGCATAAAACTACTCATACCTTGCACTATATAATTTATAATTATCCTATTATTTTTAATATAAGTAGGTCTATGTATCAAAGTAGTACACAATTTTTTACAACATAAAACATAATATTATGTTGATAATTAATAAATAAATTAAAACTTTATTATTATTTAAATTGCACATCATTTAGAAATAAAATTCAACAATAATTTAAAAATTAACAATTTTGATATAATGAATTATATGGCATTTTCGATATTTTTTTTTAG